GCCACCCTAGTAAAGGGGGCTCTCTGTCAGAAGCCCATTGAATCTTTAGTGTATGAACATGGAAACAGAGTCTTAACTACATGAAAGTGAAAGGCAGGGGCGGACTGATAACTCATGGGGCCCCTGGGCAATAGGGGATCATGGGGCCCCTGTGTCCTTGCCCAAACTCAAAAAAGCCTATGAAAAAGGTACCAGGGGCATCTCATGGGGCCCCCTACTGACCCCGGGCCCTCGGGCAGTGCCCGAGTTTCCAAATGGTCAGTCTGCCCCTGCTTCCAGGTTTAGGGAACCCTTACTTAACATTCATTTATCTACAGCTCACTGTGCATTAGCTTGATAATAACTGGGAAAAGTGCTTTACATTTGTGGTCATTAAACATAATTCACTCTTAGAGATATGTAGCACCCATCTAGTTAGCTATGGGGAGCTAGCTAGTTGTTTTAGATAGAAAGGATGAGTAGCAGCCTGGGCATGAGTCAGCTGGGTTGAGGTCAGGGCTGAGGGCTCTGCAGGTCAGCTCCTTGATACCTCCCTCTGATCTAGAGACATGGAGAAGTCTCTAGAACTCAGTGGGTGGGGGTGAGGAGGGGCTGGCCTGAACACTTAAGGGACTTTGGCCAATCCCCGAACAGGAGGCTTGGTAAGGGGTCAGGGTAACCTTTAAAGTGTTACTAAACCCACAACAGTAAAATCAGTCTGTATATGCATTAAAGCATGCTTGTTATACTCAATGTGGAACCTAAGGGGTCAATCCCTGCATTGTGTAAATACGCTGTTTGATTCTAACTTCTGTGACTTGACTTGTCTGACTTCACTGTGGAACCTAAGGGGTTAATCCTCTCTATTGTGTAAAAACACTGTTTGATTCTGATTTCTCTGATCCTCCCCTTCTTCCAGTGTCCCACTCCTATCTCCTGATAGGACATATTGTGTGGAGTTGCTCTGCACATGATCAATTTGGTATGTATTGCTAGAGAGGTTTTTCCTTTCTTGGGAGAGTGCATGTGATCAGCACAGGGCCAATCAGTACTGTCCAGACAGAGGGTCAGGAGTCCTACATCCTCCTAGAGCAAAATGAAAACTCCTCCTACAAACTTTAACCAGTGCTCGGCTGGACACTGATAGAAGTCACAAAACTGCTCTAACTGCTGATGAAAATAAGGTATTTAGCAGTTTATGTTTACTAAAATAATTGCTCTTTCATGTTCTGTGTACTGTGGGTGACCACATATAGTGAGTGCAGGCTCCTAGGTTTAGTAACACTTTACGTATGACAGAGCCTGCTCAGCAGCAGGAGAATTCAGGAAGTGAGAGGCTGGGATGCAGGAGCTTAGGATGGGGCCCAGTGGTAAGGAGCCTACCTCCAGGCTGAAGCTGAAAGTAGGATCTCTCAACCTCAGCAGTCCTCTGAGAGAGGTCCACCTGTGCAGCAGGGAAGGAGCCTGCCCAGCGGATAGTTTGAAGACAGCTACCAATCCAACAAGTTCATATAAGAAGAAGAGTGAGTAGTCCTACACCCCCTGGGCCAGATAAGGAGAAAGGGCATTTGGGTGGGCAACCTGACTAGCCCCCATCTGGGACTGTTGATTTGCAGAGACAGATTCTGGGTCCCCTTGCCCAGAGATTCACCCAGTACATCTGGATGAGGAGAGGATTCATCTGGGGTCTGGGGTGGTAAATCAGGAGAGGCTGGAGAGCTCTCCAGGAAGAAACCCTTTTTTGCTGTATTGAGACTTCTACATAGTTGCCAAAGAGTTGTCCTCAGTTGAAGTTCCCTTGGGCAACTCATACGCCACTTCACCCCTTCAAGTTCAAAATAAACCCCAAATAAAAACGAAACCCCCCCCCCCAAAAAAAAAAAAAAAACAAGCTCAAGGACTATTTACTGTCTCCAGAATACAAGTCTGTGAAAAATGTGCGTTGCCTAGCTGTGTAGGACTATAGGGGGGACAAAATATTCAGCAACTTCCAAGAGGGTACTGCAACAAATAGCTAAAAAGATCATTGGTGTCATTGGTTATTGCCCATCGCTCATGGAACCCCTGGCAACCTCTGAAGGAACCCTGGTTGAGGAAGGCTGTTCTAATTTATTTAACTGATTGTTCCCCTGACCTTAGCTGGGCAGCAGGGTTGGAGGGCTTCCACAGAAGAAAACAAAGCCAGATTGGAATTTGGCCTTCTAAGTAATCTCAGAAAATATATTTTTCGCAGATACTTCTTAAAAAATAACCAGTCTACCAGCCATGCTGCAGAAGATTCTTTTAAGCTTTCTATTACAGACTGCAGCCGCCCCGTGCTCCTCTAACTACACAAAAACTTCTCTGGTCTCAGCATGGCTTCAGAAATGGGTTCTCCTCATGTTATCTATGGACTAAAGCATGTCTTAGAAAATGCTGGTTGTGCCAGCACCGGCTAAATGTCAAATGCGTGTTTGTTTAGATCATTGATCTAGTAAGTTACATGCTTACTTAAAGAGTTTTATTTTCAACTAAACATTTACATTCCCATAAAGCATAATAGCACTATAAAGCTGGATATGCAACGGATACAGTTAAAAAAAAACACCAGTTTCATAAATTGTTACTTCTATTTTAGTTAATTTAGTGCACTTTGAAAGAAATCAATCCTGAGCAGTCTGCATTCATATTAAATAAATTCTAAATTAAAGGTTTAGTTATTGAAACTTTATAGAAATCTCTAAACAGTCTAAAACATTAAGAAAGGAATGTGATTGTTTACAATGGACAATGCAGAACGTTTTTGCCTGTTGGCCACCCTAGTAAAGGGGGCTCTCTGTCAGAAGCCCATTGAATCTTTAGTGTATGAACATGGAAACAGAGCCTTAACTACATGAAAGTGAAAACAGCCTATGAAAAAGGTACCAGGGGCATCTCATGGGGCCCCCTACTGACCCCGGGGCCTCGGGCAGTGCCCAGAGTTTCCAAATGGTCAGTCAGCCCCTGGTGAAAGGAAACCTGGAAGGTCACCTTGCCTACTAAGGTGCCACCAGTTCCATAAATCAAAAACCTGAAGGTAAGTGCTGGCATCCTTGGATCATCTTTATGATCCCCCACAGTGACTTCCATGGTTGAACTTTGACCCACCTCTTTTTGCCTCTATACCATTCAATTGGCCTCCAAAGCTATGAATGCCTTTACCGATCAATAAGGAGGTGCAGGACTCAAGGGCAGGTAGCCAGAGTTAGGTCATGGAAATTGTGGTCTATATCTTAACAACAAAGTGATTATGTTTTGGGGATCCTGGTGCAATCTAAAGATAACATCATAAGAGCAGACATTAATGTGTGGCCTTTCTAAACTCCTGGAACTCCCCAGATCCTTCTCTTTTCACAGATGGGTCTCAGCATAGATTCTGGACCTAGGACCTTTTAAAAAGGGGACCTTACAAGGGAGTAAAATTGGTAACTCTTTTTTCTAGACAAATTCAACACAAGATTTGCAATAATTTTCAGCAACTGCTTGTTATGTGATCTTAGTGTCTGAGATTTTGGACTTTGAAAAATCCATGTCCCAATGGGATATAGGTGATTCAACTTTGTCATTTGTGCAAACTAATGCTGCTAGAGAGAATTGGTATGGACTGTTATAGGTGTGAACTCCAGCTGCCATATTGAAGAAGATTGTAGCATAGAGGCCTTTTTTGGAAGAGGATGCTCTGCAGCAATATGCCCAGCTGTCACAGCACAGAGAACAGAGGTTGGAGTTTTGGTTTTCTCAAGAATTAAAGGTTTGAATAATACAAGAACAGACACCACAGACCATTGACATACAGCATAATAATCATGGCATTTTAGTTCCATATTTTTTTAAGACAACCAGGCTTAGAAAGATCACAAAACTTTAACAAATTATTTGCAGACAGCTTACCATGATAAAGCGGAGAATTCTGTTTTGCATTTGGACAGGTAAGTTGTATTTTGGATTCAAGAGTTTAACAAGCACATCCTTAAGGAACTCTTTCCTCAGCACCAGATTCTGGAAATTTGAGTTACAATTCTGCATACACATCTCCAGCAGCTGGATTGTTGGGGAACAAAGGATAAGAAGATGAAATTAGAATTTCAAAACTCCAAAAGTAGCATACGTATAAAATGTTTTTGAAAACCGATTGAAAAACACTTTTGAATGTTTAAAGAGTAAGCCCACCTAAATCTTATATGGATAAAAACTGGATCACCTACTTGTAGTTCCCAACTCCAGCCTCCATGATGCCCACAATGACCTCAGCTTAGCCTACAAATCTTGAAGAGTATTTAGTAGGAGTATTAGGATGACCTTACTTTCATAAATGTGCACCAGGATGCTCCAGTTTTGGTAAATCCCGCCCTGTGTTGTGTATTACAGTTCAATGCATGTATTTTCTTATCTCTAGAGATTATTCTAGCCATGCCTTCCCCAAGACTATGTTCCCTGCCTTACCCATCTTAAATCCCCACTGGAGTCCCCCATGAGCTGGCAGCAGGCAGTTTAACCAACAAAATGCATTACGAAGTATATACACATATTATATATACATTGTTTATATAAAAGGTAGCATTTTTATAAAAACGAAACTGCTTTAGTTCTTTTGAAGATGGCATCAACCCCACCGAATCTAATATTTTATTTTTGGTTGGAAGCAGGGCCAGTGCTAGACTATTTTGTGCCCTAGGCAAGACCAGCTACTTGTGCTCCCCCCACCTCCTCCCCCCAAAAAATAAATAATTTTAAAAACAGTAGAAAATATTAAATCAACAAAACAAAACTAAATTTCTTTTCTTTTTCAAAAACAATTGCCATAAAATGCCATCAGCACCAATCGTAAAGACAAAATATACACTATATTGCCAAAAGTATTGGGCCCTCTAAATCATTGTATTCAGGTGTTCCAATCCCCTCCGTATGGCCACAGGTGTATAAAATCATCCCCTAGGCATGCAGACTGCTTCTACAAACATTGTGAAAGAATGGGTCACTCTCAGGAGCTCAGTGACTCCAAGCGTGGTCCCGTGATAGGTTGTCACCTGTGCAATAAGTCCATCCGTGACATTTCCTGGCTACTAAATATTCCACGCTCAACTGTTAGTGGGATTATACCAAAGTGGAAGCAACTGGGAACAACAGCAACTCAGCCACCAAGTGGTTGGCCACGTCACATGAAAGAGCGGGGTCAGCGCATGCTGAAGTGCACAGTGCGCAGAAGTCACCAACTGTCTGCAGAGTCAATAGCTAAAGAACTCCAAACTTTGTGTGGCCTTCAGATTAGCACAACAACAGTGCGTAGAGAGCTTCATGGAATGGGTTTCCATGGCCGAGCAGCTGCATCCAAGCCTTACATCACCAAGTGCAATGCAAGGCGTTGGATGCAGTGGTGTAAAGCATGCCGCCACTGGACTCTAGAGCAGTGGAGACATGTTCTCTGGAGTGACCAATCACGTTTCTCTGTCTGCCAATTTGACGAACGTGTCTGGGTTTGGCAGTTACCAGGAGAACGGTACTTGCCTGACTACAGTCTGCCAAGTGTAAAGTTTGGTGGAGGGGGGATTATGCTGTAGGGTTGTTCTTCAGGGGTTGGTCTTGACCCCTTAGTTCCAGTGAAGGAAACTCTTAAGGCATCAGCATACCAAGACATTTTGGACAATTTCATGCTCCCAACTTTGTGGGAAGAGTTTGGGGATGGCCCCCTTCCTGTTCTGCACACCAGTGCACAAAGCAAGGTCCATAAAGACATGGAGGAGCCAGTTTGGGGTGGAGGAACTTGACTGACCTGCACAGAGTCCTGACCTCAACCCCATAGAACACCTCTGGGATGAATTAGAGCAGAGACTGTGAGCCAGGCCTTCCTCCCCCGACATCAGTGCCTGACCTCACAAATGTGCTTCTGGAAGAATGGTCAAACCTTCCCATAGACACCCTCCTAAACCTTGTGGACGGCCTTCCCAGAAGAGTTGAAGCTGTTATAGCTGCAAAGGGTGGGGCCAACTCAATATTGAACCTACGTACTAAGACTGGGGGGCCATTAAAGTTCATGTGCGTGTCAAGGCAGCCATCCCAATTGCTTTGGCAATTTAGAGTATATTAACCAAATATAAATTAACTGTATTAACCATTCAGACAGAGAAAAAAAAAAGGGAGACAGTTTCAAAAGTCCATATTGATCAACAGTTGCCAGCCGGCTTGCAATAAGGGACTGAGTCTGAGAGGAACACTGGAAGGAGTGGCAGCTCAGATGCTACACTGGCCCCAGTCACCCAGCATCTTCCTGTATCAAAATGGCCATGTATGTGGACAGACTGTGAGACAATTGTACAGAGTAAAGATACCATCATTCCCTCATCATTCTCTGTGTATGAAGAGAGGGGACTCTGCAGAGAAATTAAGATTTCATACAAGTGGTCCATAGGCCTCACAGAGAGAGTGCCAGCCTGTGCTGCGCCCAGGTGCCCCTAGGTGGCACAACAACAAAAGTTCTGACAACTGGGAATTCTTATTCACTTACAGAAAGAGATAAATGTACTTCCTTCTGGTTGTAGTTCTTGCTAATTCTTTTCTTGAAAGCCTTAACTGCATCTCTTGACCTGGAAAGACAGAGATGACCTTTTATTAACCACTTGCCTACCAGGCACTTATACCCCCTTCCTTACCAGGCCAATTTTCAGCTTTCAGCACTGCCGCAATTTGATTGACAATTGCGCGGTCATGCAACATTGTACCCATATGAAATTTTGATCATTTTTTTCTCACAAATAGAGCTTTCTTTTGGTGGTATTTACTCCCTGCTGGGCGCTTTACTTTTTGCGCTATAAATACAAAAAGTGCAAAAAATTTGAAAAAAAAAAAAAAGTTTCTTTGTTTCTATTATAAAATTTTTCAAACAGGTAATTTTTCTCCTTCACTGATGTGCGTTGATGAGGCAGCACTGATGGGCACTGATAGGCGGCACTGATGGGCACTGATAGGCAGCACTAAAGGGCACTGATAGGCAGTACTAATGAGGTGGCACGGATAGGCGGCACTGATAGACAGCACTAATGAGGTGTCACGGATAGGCGGCACTAATATGCAGCACTGATAGGCGGCACTGATAGGTGACACTGATGATGGGTACTGATAGACGGCACTGACTGGCATCACTGCTGGGCACTGACTGGCGGCACTGACTGGCACAACCCCTGGGCACTGACTGGTGGCACTGACTGGCAGCACTGGTGGTGGGTGGCACTGGTGGGTGGGCACTGGTGGGTGGGCACAGGTGGGTGGGCACAGGTGGGTGGCACTTCTGGGCACAGGTGTGTGACACTGCAGAGTGGCACAGGTGGGTGCACTGCTGGGCACAGGTGGGTGATCTGCTGGGCACAGGTGGGCGGAGCTAGTGGGTGCACTGCTGGGCACAGGTGGGCGGAGCTTGCGGGTGGCACTGCTGGGCACCGATCATCAGGGCACTGATCATCAGTGCCCTGATGATCGGTGCCGATCCCCGCTCTGACAACAGCCGATTCTTGGCAGTACTTTCCTCACGATCTGACAGCGTGAGGAAAGTGCAGCCGAGAACCGGCACTTGCATTTTCCTCTGATCAGCGTGTCATTGGACACCGCTGATCACGTGGTAAAAGGCCGCTGTGATTGGCCTTTTACCACATCACGTGATCAGCTGTGTCCGTAGGACACAGCGATCACGGAGATCGCCGGTTATAGACAGGTGTGCGAAATTATTTCAAACTGCGCGCCCCCTGGGGCACGCAGGAGAGCGCGTTCTGGGAGGACGTCATATGACGTCCACCCAGAACTGGCCGGCTGCAGTGCAGCCGTCATTCGGCTATCTGCGGTCGGCAGGTAGTTAAAGTGTATGCCAAGGCAAAACAAACAAACACATGCAAAGTACATTCCTGCAATACATGCACGGGCAGCACAGTGGCTAAACGGTTAGCACTTTCGCCTGGCAGTACTGGGGTCGTTGGTTCAAATCCTGACCACGGCATCACCTGCCTGGAGTTTGCATGTTCTCTCTGTGCCTGCGTGGGTTTCCTCCCACACGCCAAAGACATGCTGGTAAGTTAATTGGCTCCTGTCTAAATCGTCCCTAGTATGTGTATGTATGAATGTAAGTTAGGGACCTTAGATTGTACACCTACCCCTTGAGGTTAGGGACTGATGTGAATGTACAATATATATGTAAATTGATGGCGCTATATAAGAACCTGAAATAAATAATTTCCCCGTGTTGTATTCCTATAGGTCTCTTTCAGATAGGTGGCAGTACTTACCACCACAGATTGCTTTTCAGAGGGCAGTAGAGCAGCGGCTGGCAGGTGAGTGGGAGGTGTTACTACTGCTGACTTCTGACACCATTTTTTTTTTTTTTTTTTTAGGGGCCAGTTCACACTCCATGCATTTCAGTTGCTTTTTTATGCATCCAAAACACACAAAACATAGGTTAGATGGTTGTCAGTGTCATAGTTCTCATCAGTGCTTGCAGTTCCAGTGCGTTCCGGTTGCAGAAAAAAAAGTAAAATAGGCTGCATTTTTCCTGCACAGAACTGCGCTGGAATGCAGTAAAATGCATAAAAAATGCACCGAAACGCACCAAAAACACACTGGAATGCACATGTTCCTAATAAACTGAAGAAAAAGAGAGGGGAAAAAATGAACTGGAACACATCAAAAATGAACCGGAGCATGTCAAATATGCATCTAAAACACACTGGAACACAGCAAAAAAACGCATCAAAAACGGTCATGCAGAAATGCGTCCAGACTGCATCTAGACTGCGTTTCTATAGTGTGAACCGGCCCTAAAACATTTTTCCATTGCGGGGCTGTGCTGCAAGTCAAGTGTTTGGCACGCTGTTGGGGTGTAGCCCCATTGGTCATAAAGCTGCGGTGCCATCTGTCAGTCACAAGCAATGCATTGCAGAACAGGGGCGGGACTGACCATTTGGAAACTCAGGCACTGCCCGAGGGCCCGGGGTCAGTAGGGGGCCTCATGTGATGCCCCTGGTACCTTTTTCATAGGCTTTTTTGAGTTTGGGCGAGGACACAGGGGCCCCATGATCCCCTATTGCCCGGGGGCCCCATGAGTTGTCAGTCCGCCCCTGTTGCAGAGATGTACACAACGGAAAAATGTGTTTTGTTTCGTATTCGTTGGTTAAGTTACAATTTAATTTTGTCCTATTTGTTATGTTAGAATGATTTGTTTTTTTAATTAAGTTCATAACGTCGGATTTCTTTTGTATATTCGTTATTTTCAAATCGATTAGAGATTCAAAATTGAAATATGACTATATTCATTCTATTTTTTTCTATGCTATTCTTTTCTGTTCTATTCTACTCTTATTATATTCTTTTATTTTGTATTCTGTTTTATTCTATTCCATTCTAGTTTAGTCCTTTTATTTTTTATTCTATTCTATTTTATTCTATTCTTTTCCTTTTTTACTCTTTTATATTATATTATTTTATATTCTATTCCTTTATTTTCCATTCTATTGTTTTAGTCTATTCTTTTCTGTTTTATTTTTGTTCTGTGCTATTCTATTCCTTTATTGTCTATTCCATTCTATTCTGTTTTATTCTATTCCACTCTTTTATTTCCTATTCTATTCTGTTTTATTCTCTTCTATTCCTTTATTTTCTCTTCTGCTCTTTTCTATTCTTTTCTGTTGTATTCTATTCTAGTCTATTCCTTTATTTTGTATTCCCTCTTGGCTTTTCTATTCTATTCTGTAAAGCAGGAAAGTAGGGATAACCATCTTATTTCACTTTAGTACCTTACTGTATTTATTGCAATATGTTTTTTTATTTCGAATTTGAATTCATTTTTGAATAATTTGTTTTGTTATAATTTATTTTAGATTTGTTGAAATGTGTTACTATTGTGATTCGAATCTCCCAATAAGGAAAATGTTGTTCGCATTTTGATACAGAATGAAATGAATTGCACATGTCTAATGTATTGCAGCAGCAGCATGTTAGAATTTGGGGTGGGCAGCCGGGGGGGTGGTAAAACTGCTGCCTTCGCTTCCTGTCCCAAAGCCAATACAGGAAGTGAGAGTCAATCCCTCCAAAGTATGGGAGGGCTGTGGATAAGGGGTTACCACCAGTCCTCCTGTATAGGGCCCAGACCTCGGTGAACCGAATGTGGGCAGGAAGGGTGAGCGGGAAGGGGGGGGGGGGGGGGGGGGAATTACTGGAATCAATCCCCTGTATGGCTCTCTCTGCAGCAGCTGAAAGCTGGGTTCTTCTCCCCCCCCAGCTAGCTTTCAGCTGCTGCAGAGAGAAAACATGCAGGGGGATTGGTTCCAGTAGTTTAACAGCCCCTTCCATTCCTGACTGAACCCAATGAGTGATACGTACCGATCACTCACTGTGTTCATTCATAACTGAAGCATGTGGGGTTTTTTTGTGGGGATGGAGGGCACTGTTAGGTTGGCTGTATGGGGCCCTGTGGTTTGAGTGGGGCCCTGTCAGGTTGGCTGTAAGGGGGCCCCGAGGTTTCTAACAGCAGCCCTGACCAGAACTAGATTTTTGG